TTAATAAACTACCCATCTTCTTTCAAACAAAATGAAACCCCTAGAAATGGATAACAATGTACATATCTACATGTGTTAAAACTCTTAAGACTGGTTTGATTCATTGAGCAATTTAATTATGAAACAAAGTACCAGTCCATTTAGAAACTGTCATAACAAAAGTAATGTTTGTGTAAGGTAGTAAGGGGGAAAAGATTAATACTCAATTTCTGTATAAGAGAAACAAAGTGACTAATTTTCTATGTTGCCTTACAACTGGGCATTAATGCAGCTTAGCATTATCTAGAACAACTCTTTGCCTTTGGTGGCAGGTTTATTTATCAGTTTTTATTTTATAGTTAGCTGTGCATTTTTAGATGTGTAAAAAAACCTTACATTTTTTACACCAGAATTTTTGTTTAGATTTGTATGTTACATTTTACCATGTTTTATGTTTTGTATGTTTACATTCTTTGTGGTTGTTTGTATTATTATGCCCCCATTTTGAAAAAAAGGGGGTATATTGCTTTGCACTTGTCGGTCCGTCGGTCCGTCGGTCCGTAGACCAAATGGTTTCCGAGTGATAACTAAAGAACCCTTAGGCCTAGGAACTTCAAACTTGGTATGGTGATTGGTCATGACCAGTAGATGACCCCTATTGATTTTGGGGTCAAGGGGTCAAAGGTCAAGGTCACATTGACCTTGAAAGCAAAAACGGTTTCCGATCAATAACTAAAGAACCTTAAGGCCTAGGAACTTCAAACTTGGTATGGTGATTGGTCATGACCAGTAGATGACCCCTATTGATTTTGGAGTCAAGGGGTCAAAGGTCAAGGTCACATTGACCTTGAAAGCAAAAACAGTTTTCCGATCAATAACTAAAGAACCTTTAAGGCCTTAGGAACTTCAAACTTGGTATGGTGATTAGTCATAACCAGTAGATGACCCCTATTGATTTTGGGGTCAAGGGGTCAAAGGTCAAGGTTCACATTGACCTTAAAAGCAAAAACGGTTTCCGATCAATAACTAAAGAACCTTAAGGCCTAGGAACTTCAAACTTGGTATGGTGATTGGTCCATGATCAGTAGATGACCCCTATTGATCTTGGGGTCAAGGGGTCAAAGGTCAAGGTCACATTGACCTTGTAGGTAAAACGGTTTCCGATCAATCCTAAAGAACCTTAAGGCTTAGGAACATTAAACTTGGTATGGTGATTGGTCATGATCAGTAGATGGCCCCTATTGATTTTGGGGTCAAGGGGTCAAAGGTCAAGGTCACATTGACCTTGTACGTAAAAACGGTTTCCGATCAATAACTACAGAACCTTAAGGCCTAGGAAACTTCAAACTTGGTATGGTGATTGGTCATTTGATCAGTAGATGACCCGTATAGGATTTTGGGGTCAAGGGTCAAAGGTCAAGGTCACATTGACCTTTTAATTAAAAACGGTTTCTGATCAATAACAAAAGAACCCTTAGGCCTAGGAACTTCAAACTTGGTATGTGATTGGTTATGACCAATCAGATGACCCCTATGATTTTGGCGTTAATGGGGTCAAAGGTCAAGGTCACATTGACCTTGTAGGTAAAAACGGTTTCCGATCAATAATGAAAGAACCCTTAGGCCTAGGGACTTCAAACTTGAGATGGTGATTGGTCATGATCAGTAGATGACCCCTATTGATTTTGGGATCTAGGGGTTCAAAGGTCAAGGTCACATTGACCTTGTAGGTAAAATGCTTTTCGGATCAATAACTTAAGAACCCTTATGCCTAGGAACTTCAAACTTGGTTATGGTGATTGGTCATGACCAGCAGATGACCTATTGATTTTGGGGGTCAAGGGGTCAAAGGTCAAGGTCACATTGACCTTGTAGGTAAAAAAACGGTTTCCCGATCAATTAACTAAAAACGCTTAGGCCTAGGAACTTCAAACTTTGTGTGATGATTGGTCATGACCAGCAGATGACCCCTATTGAGTTTTTAGGTGAAGGGGTCAAAGGTCAAGGTCACATTGACCTAATTAAGTAAAACGGTTTCTGATCAATAACTCAAGAACGCTTAGGCCTAGGAAACTTCAAACTTGGTATGGTGATTTGGTCATGACCAGCAGATTACTCCTATTGATTTTGGGAATCAGGGGTCAAAGGTCAAGGTCACAATGACCTTGTAAGTAAAAAACGGTTTTCTGATCAATAACTAAAGAACGCTTCGGCCTAGAAACTTCAAACTTGGCATGGTGCATTGTCATGACCAGCAGATGACCCCTATTGATTTGGGGTCAAAGGTCAAGGTCACATTGACCTTTTAAGTAAAAACGGTTTCTGATCAATAACTCAAGAACGCTTAGGCCTAGGAACTTCAAACTTGGTATGGTGATTTGTCATGACCAGCAGATTACTCCTATTGACTTTTGGGATCAAGGGTCAAAGGTCAAGGTCACAATGACCTTGTAAGTAAAAACGGTTTCTGATCAATAACTAAAGAACGCTTTCGGCCTAGAAACTTCAAAACTTGGCATGGTGATTGGTCATGACCAGCAGATGACCCCTATTGATTTTGGGGTCAAAGGTTTCAAGGTCACATTGACCTTGTATGTTAAATACGGTTTCCGATCAATAATAAAGAGAACCCTTAGGCCTAAGAACTTCAAACTTGGCATGGTGATTGGTCATGACCAGCAGATGACCCTATTGATTTTGGGGTCAAGGGTTTAAAGGTCAAGGTCACATTGACCTTGTAGGTAAAAACGGTTTTCTGATCAATTTACTAAAAGTCTAGGCCTAGGACTTCAGACTTGTATGATGATTGTCGTGACCAGCAGATGACCCCTATTGAGTTTTGGGTCAAGGGGTCAAAGGTCAAGGTCTTGACCAGTAGATACTTTATAACCCTTATTAATTGTTTGATCACTGGGTCAGACGTCATGCATAATAACCTTATCACATGACTAATTGGCTGCTGATAGGGGGCATACATGTTTTACAAACATATCTTGTTATTTTCTTGTACTCAAAATAAGTGTGACTAGCTGAAAGTAATAGTTCTCTAATTTGTGTGATTTCGTAGATTTGTATAATAATATTATGTGCTGTTTTTTTGTGCCCCCACATTAGTGGCGGGCATTTAGATTTACCCTTGTCCGTCCGTCCGTCCTTCCGTCCGTTCACTTTTGTGTCGCAAGTAACTCAAAAAGTATTTGACCTAGAGTCATGAAACTTTACAGGAATGTTGATCAGCATGTGTAGTTGTGCACCTGGGTATTTTCGTCTGGATATTTTAGTATTTTCAGAGTTATTGCCCCTTGACTTTAGTAAAATTTTGCAATTTTCAACTTTGTGTCGCATGTAACTCAAAAAGTATTTTGACCTACAGTCATGAAACTTTTACAGGAATGTTGATCAGCATGTGTAGTTGTGCACCTGGGTATTTTCGTCTGGATATTTTTAGTATTTTCAGAGTTATTGCCCTTGACTTAGTAAAATTTTGCAATTTTCAACTTGTGTCGCACGTAACTCAAAAAGTATTTGACCTAGAGTCATGAAACTTTACAGGAATGTTGATCAGAATGTGTAGTTGTGCACCTGGGTATTTTCATATGCATATTTTTAGTATTTTTAGAGTTATTGCCCTTGACTTAGTAAAATTTTGCAATTTTCAACTTGTGTCGCACATAACTCAAAAAGTATTTGACCTAGAGTCATGAAACTTTACAGGAATGTTGATCAGCATGTGTAGTTGTGCACCAGGTATTTTCGTCTGGATTTATTTAGTATTTTTAGAGTTATTGCCCTTCACTTAGAAAATTTTTGCAATTTTCAACTTGTGTCACAAGTTTCTCAAAAAGGATTTGACATAGTCAATAAACCTTATGGGCAGGTTGCTCAGCATATTTTAGATTTGCACCTGGGGTTTTGCTTGTGGATTTATCCAGTATTTGTAGAGTTATTCCCCTTGACTTAGTAAAAAGATTGACAGAACAGTGTTGCGGTGGGGGCACCCGTGTCCTATGGACACATTTCTAGTTTATTTTTAAGTTAAATTTCTTATGTTAAGCTTAACTGCTGGTATAATTTCTAGGAATATTATTTATCATGTAATGTGTATATTTAGATGTTGGGATATGAAAAAATGAGATGTACTGTTCTGAAACAGCCCTGGTTATGGGAACTTCTGACAGATTAGTTTTGTTCACAATTATAGTCCGAGTTGATTTGAATTTATAAAAAGTTTTGCCTACAATGTACAATGTAACATGAATTCACAATATGTAAAGTGCATAATACACCTACACAAAGCTGCCCAGGGTTTGATAATAATGTGATATAATGATAGGATGCACAACTGTTTCATTAATTCAAGTTGAGAATGATATATTTGAAATGTAGTGATGGGAAATCATTTGGTTTTTATGGGCAATAAAGCTGATGCTTCAATCAAAATAGATCTTTAGGAATTAAATTAAAGGATACTACATTGTAAAGGTAGAAAATTGAACTGACATATGTTGTTGCGATTTTTTTTTATGATTGACATATGAGCCAACTTTATTAAAGATTGAATTTTGATGTTGGCTACCAACAAATATTGATAATTTATTAATGAATTCAATAAAAAAGCTAACAGGCCCCCCCCCCCCCAAAAAAAAATCATTATTTTACATTAGAATTATATAAACAGACAAATCTATAATAGGGCTTATTATAAATAATTTATATAGCAATCATTGTGCACTTTTACAGTGTAACCTATGCAGAGTGGTCATCTGAAGAACAGTGACCTCTATACAACAAAATTAATTATCAATTCTTCCAAAAGTAAAACTTCACATAAAACTTTACCTATTTATGGCAACAATTCAACAACAACTAAAACTTTGTCTCACAAAGGTTCTTGCTTTGTAGACGTTGTACTGAATGATTTACTTTGGTATAAACAGAGTGGGTCTAACCTATGTGGGCTGTATTCAATGGTTATGTTTATCCGAGGTTTCACTGTATTATATATATATATATATTTACAGGGTATGACAGAGGATGTGGAGAAACTGAGACGGGAGAGAGATGAGATGAGACAGCTACTTGTCCAAGTTTGAACGTCACATGGCAGAGGTAAGATATTACTTTACTTTGTGAAATTTTTCTGGGCTCACACCAGGCTCATAGCTTGATTTAAATGAGAATTCAACATAGTTTAAGAAAGCCTCTGAAATTTGAATTATATAAGTCACATGTAGCAATTTATGAACCAAGTAAATATACTGAATAGTTTTAAAGTTTCTAAGTGGTAAATGGTGGAGTGATTCCTGGAATTAAGCAAAAATATCAATTCATGGAGGCTTTGATTTATTGATGAAATGTTACTTCACTCTAAAATTCATTGAAAGATTTAGTAAAACTATTTTTTTATCTTAAAAACCTTTTGTGCTTGATCTTAAAAATTCATGACTGATATTACTTGAAACACCTTCGAGTTGTACTTACTCTTTTTTTATTTGGAAAATTGAAGGGTTTTCCCTATGTTTTGAGATGGGTTTTTTATTTTCCCCCTTTAAAGCAAAGGGGTTTTTTTTTTAGCCCTCACTTGCCTTTTTAAATAAAATGATTTAAAAAAATATTTAAGTAATTTTATAGTTTTTTCACACCCCAAAATTAGGGTTATCTTTCTTTTAAAAACAGAAACCAACCCATGTGGGAAAGGGAAATTAAATGGTGAGAGAGACCCCAAAATTAAAAGAAAGTATGAAGAGGTAATGTAATGTGTTAATAGCAAATTTTTTCATATTTTATATTTAAAATTCGAACATTAATGCATGTATTAAAGTCCAATTTTAATATCTTTGGGAAAAAAATGGGCCCCCTGGAAGCCCTTAAAAACAGAAAAAAATTTCCCTGAAAAATTTTCCCTACTTCGGTTTTTGGGGTTTGTTCACTGAACAAAGTAAGGATGCATCAAATAACAAAAAGGGGTTGACTGTGTTGGATAGTATCCATTAAATTTAGCATTAAATATCTCTTATGCTTAATAGAACAGTTATGAATTACAAACAATCTCAGTATGCCCTTATCGGAATTTTTTCTTGCACAGTGTGATGTGTAGTTTGTTTTGATTTCAAATCTGAAAAATATACAACTTACACCGGTTTTTTGTTAATTGTTCACTTAGTTTCTGAAAATTAAAAACATTTATTTAATGCACACAGACTTTAGTGAAATAATGTGTATTAAAAATTCATATTCTTTATCAGACCCCAAGGATGAAATTTGGCACAAAGTAAGAGGGGTGAACTAAAGTACGTCTCCAAAATCAACCAAAAAACTTCGTTTAGCTCCCAGGCTGTGTTACGTCGTGTTTGAGAATGAACGTGAAAGATGCCGGTCTGAACTTCGTAGAATGACCCCGGGGAAAGTGAAGTCTCAGAGAAAGACTAAAGGTTTTTTTTTTTAAAAATGTTTTTTAAAAAAAATTTCGTACATAGATTTAAAAAGGTTTAATATTATCGATGATACTAAAATTTTTTTTACTTTTTTAAATTTGAAAAAATTTTTGTAAAAAATTTCCGGAAGGGGGGAATAGTGGTGAGTGGTTAAGGCGTTGACTTAAAACCCTTCCCCCTCACTTGTGGTTCAAAACCCCCAAGGACTTTGGATTCTTTCATGGGGAAAGGGCAAAACAGTAGTTTAGAACTTTGGTTCTACTAGGTGCCGTTTCCCTAAAATTCAGAAGGGCAAATAAAGGCTTCCTCCCCCAGTAAAGCTGGAACAATGTGATATGACCAGAACTGTGTGGGTGTGACGTAAAACCCAATAAAACAAACAAACCATCTCGGAATACTGATAAAAATCATAGAAAATAATACCGGTATATAATGCAATTATTTCTGTTTTGTATCTATTTTTATAACCTCTTTTGAACAGAATGATGCAGTAAGAATTCAAGATTCCTACTTATATATTATATTGATATCTTTTATGTTTTCAGATTGCTACAGAGGTATCACTGTCAGAGAAGGCCAAGTTGGAACAGCGCGGCGAGGACTTGGAGAGTGCTCTAACACAGGCAGAGAATGAGCGTGGTGAGCTGATTGTACGTGTCAACTCCCTGAAGGAAGATGTTCGTAGTTTGGAGGAACAGATCAAGGATATGGCTAGCAGACTGACCGAGACCCAAGATGATAACTCTCAGAATAAATCTAAAGCCACTCAAATGAAGTAGGTTTCTATATTCATTTATTGTAATAGGCTACTTGGTGTTAATAAGACTTAATTTGTCAATCATACTGAATTTCCATGCATATTCAGGTTTTAAAAAGATTCATACAAGATTAAGCAATATAATATGAAGAACATTATTAATTGATATGTTGACATATTTCTCTGGGTTGTGTGGAAATTCATCTACAGAAGCTAAACTTTCTCATATATAACAACATATCAATATTTGTAAGAATTCCATATTTTAACACCTGCAAACAAAACATACTGGTGATTATTGAACATAATGCCTCCTTACATTTATCTTGAAAAAAATTGAGTTATGTACAAGGGTACCAAGATAATTTACAGCTAATACATAATGTTGTGTAAACACTTAATAAAGAAATTGAACTGGTTCTTCGATAACGTTTTTTATATATGTAACTCATTTTAATGTAGTCAAACATAACAACATATAAATAGGCTCGTCATTCTAACATGACACTAATATTAGTGTGATATACAGTAATGTATAGTAAATTATGACACATGTTTATAATCCAGGATGTTGGCTGAGGAGACAGAGAGAAGCTTGGAGGACACACAGAAACGTCTGGCACGTCGTGAGAGCGAGTTAGCCGCCCAGGAGGAGAGGTGTGCTAGATTAGAGGATAGGATAGCCGAATTACAGAGAACTTTATCTCATTCTACTGATGAGAATTCAGATATCAGAAGAACTGTAAGTCAGCTGGACAGGGAAAAGGATAACCTTCAGATTAGTGTTGATGAAAAGACAGAGAAAATTGCCAACCTCAATGAAGAAACACTTCTCAAGGTATGTGTATTTCTTGTTTTTTTAGCTCACCTGTCACAAAGTGACAGGGTGAGCTTTTGTGATCGCTTTTCGTCCGACGTCCGTCCGTAAACTTTTACTTTAAATGACATCTCCTCATAAACCACTAAGCCAATTTCATCCAAACTTCACAGGAATGTTCCTTTAGTGGTCACCTTTAAAAATTGTTCAAAGAATTTAATTCCATGCAGAAATCTGGTTGCCATGGCAACCGAAAGAAAAAACTTTAAATATCTTCTTTTAAAAAACCGTAAGAGCTAGAGCTAAGATATTTGGCATGAAACATCTTCTAGTGAGTGTCTACCAAGTTTGTTCAAATAAAAGCCCTGGGGTCAAAATTGGCCCCGCCCCAGTGGGTCATTGATTTTCCCTATATGCATATAGTAAAAACTTAAAAAAATCTTCTTTTAAAGAACCCAAAGAGCTAGAGCTAAGATATTTGGCATGAAACATCTTTATGAGTGTCTACCAAGTTTGTTCAAATAAAAGCCCCGGGGTCAAAATTGGCCCCGTCCCAGGGGGTCATTGATTTTCCCTATATGCATATAGTAAAAACTTAAAAAATCTTCTTTTAAAGAACACAAAGAGCTAGAGCTAAGATATTTAGCATAAAACATGTTCTAATGGGTGTCTACCAAGTATGTTCAAATAAAAGCCTTGGGGTCAAAATTGGCCCCGCCCGGGGGGGTCATTGATTTTCCTTATATGTGTATAGCAAAAACTTAAAAATCTTCTTTGAAAAAACTGCAAGAGCTAGAGCTTAGATATTTGGCATGAAACATCTTCTAGTGAGTGTCTACCAAGTTTGTTCAAATAAAAGCCCTGGGGTCAAAATTGGCCCCGCCCCAGGGGGTCATTGATTTTCCCTATATGCATATAGTAAAAACTTAAAAAATCTTCTTTTAAAGAACTCAAAGAGCTAGAGCTAAGATATTTAGCATGAAACATGTTCTAATGGATGTCTACCAAGTATGTTCAAAATTGGCCTGGCCCTGGGGGGTCATTGATTTTCCTTATATGTGTATAGCTCTTCTTTGAAAAACCCAAATAGCTAGAGTTTAGATATTAAGCATGAAACATCTTCTAGTAAGTGTCTACAAAGTTTGTTCAAATAAAAGCTCTGGGGTCAAAACTGGCCCTGCCCCAGGGGTGTCATTTATTAGTCCCCTACCGGTTTAACCGGAGGGGACTTTAGGTTTACCCTCCGTCCGTCTGTCCGTCTGTCTGTCCGTCTGTCTGTCAGTCCGTCAGTCCGTCCGTCCACAAAACTGGATCCCGCGATAACGCAAAAAGTACTGAAAATATTTTTATGAAACTTGATATATGGATAGATGGCAGTATGGACATTATGCACGTCTTTATTTTTTCTTCCTATGTTGAAAATTCTGGTTGCTATGGCAACAAATAGTCTGAAAATATGGCAAATTTAACACATAAACTGGATCCAGTGATAACTCAAAAAGTACTGAAAATATTTTTATGAAACTTGAAATATGGGTAGATGACAGTCTGGAGATTATGCACATCTTTTTCTTTTCTTCCTATGTTGAAAATTCTGGTTGCTATGGCAACAAATAGCCTGAATTTCAAGATTTCTGATTTAAATTTTTCAGCTTTTTCACTATATGTTCTTTATTTCTTAAGGTGTTTACTTCAAACTTTAAATATAAGTTTCTGGTCATCAACAACATCATATGTGACAAGGTTTATAACTCTAGCACAAAAAATATCAGTATTACCTCCCTTGAACTTAGATTTTTTAGGGGAAAAAATGTTGTCTTTTTTAAATAACTTCTTTATTTCCTAATGTATCTACTTCAAACTTCATATATATGTTTCTTATTATCACTCGACATTTTTGAGAAGGTTAAATACTCTAGCAAGACTATTTCCAGAATTATGTCCCCTTGAACTTAGATTTTTTTCGAGAAACTGGTATTTTCACTCCAACTTCTTCATTCCTTATAGGATTTACTTTAAAATCCCACATCGTAATAATATGACAAGGTTGTATAAACATAATTTCCTTATAGACAAACTTATTTTATTATGTTTTGTGGTTGATATTTTCAAATACAGACTTCATCCTCAAATTCATTATAAATGGCAATACACAGGAGTGTATGACAATTAAAGAACTTTTTGAGGGACCGGTAGGGGACTACTGTATTGCCCGCAATACTATCAAATGCTTGTTAACTATATGTGTATAGTAAAAACTTTAAAAAACCCAATGAGCTAGAGCTTAGATGTTTAGCATGAAACATCTTATTATGGGTGTCTACCAAGTTTGTTCAAATAAAAGCCCTTGGGTTAAAATTGGCCCTGCTGGGGGGCGGGTGGGGCGCTATATACAGGTGAGCGACTTCAGGGCCATCATGGCCATCTTGTTGTAGTCTTTTTAGAGGTCTGTGGAAAAAAATAAAGCTTTCTGTCAAAATTGGCATTGCACAGCAATCTTTTTTTAATTGATCAGAGTTGAGTACTTGAAGATAAAGTGCTGGTATTGGTTCATCTTTGGGACTATAGAATTTGTTATTTATCTTCCTTTCTATACTTTGATCACTATGATAAAGTAACACATACAATTTGTTTTTAGCAATCAGTCAGAATGATCTAGATACATATTTCTATGATTTTAAGTTATTGCAGAAGAAAAGATGAATGCATGATTGTCGAAAAAAAAATTCTTTGTCTCCACTAATTTTACTCTTCAATTTTTAGTTTTTGGTGAAGAATTATAAGAATTATAATTTACCATTTCAGGAGAAACTGATCAGTGATTTGAAGGTCAGAATTAGTGAAATTGATGCTCAGTTAGGGTAAATATTTTTGTGTTTATTTTGTGTGTTTTGTGATTTCGTAAATCATACTGTTTTCATACACATGTATATTCTCAAGTTCATCAAGACCTATGATAGGGGAAAAATCACAATATTTCATGTAATTGGGGGATTCTGTGCACAGAAAAATAATGATTGTATGTCTCAATATTTTGAAATATTAGTTAAATTACTAAATGGTTATATTAATCTTGTTTAATTCAAAGCAGAATAGTTTCATTTCACAAAATCAGCAGGTTAAGCTAGTCCACTTTGATATAAAAAATTCAGAGAAAGAGAAGATAAACATGACCTCATCTATGATATATTTACATATGCATGTTATGGTTGAGAATGAACTTTAAATTGACATTTAATTATTTTATAGCCATGCTAATGATAACATCAACATGAAGGATAGAGAATTGAAGTCATTGAAACGGCAGCTAGACAGTACCTCTGATGATCTGAATGAGAATAGTCGAGGTAAAGAGGTCGCCATGAGAGAGAATAGACGTCTACAAGATGATCTTGCTGTTATGACAAGAGAAAACCAGGTGAATATAATAATGATGATGATAATTATATTCAAAGATATAGATATATAAAAACTGATGGCAATGTATAAGTAAAATGTAATGCAACTGAGTCAACTCAAAAATCTTATTTTCCAAATGATAAGGCATACAGCTTTTGATATCATTTAAAGAAGATATTAGAAGTGGCATAGCATTAACTCATAGTCTGCTTGAGGAAACTTATGTGTGATCATGGTCTGCACTGTTCACTTCAGTCAAACATATTTTGAATTTTTTTCTTTATATAAAATGCTTTTGTCTAAAATGAAAGATATTTAAGATATTTAGCATGGAGAGTAATGATAACACAACATTTTGTTTGAAAGCTACTAATACTCTAAAGTGTCTTGCCTTCTCTTATTATTTGATACATGTTTGTAAGTATTTAGGTCTGTGTGCTTATGATTTACAATTACATTGTATGGGGAGATGGCATTTTACAACACCATTTTATCAACAAAACAAGCTATGCCAGCAGTATTATGAATTTAAGATGGGAAGTATCTTTAAAAGTGACATATTTAATGTACTGAATGTAATATTTTGTACAGAAAATCAACCAGGAGTTACAGGAAGCTCTAGAGGACAAAGAAGGACTTAAACAACAAGTTCAACAATATATCCTGGAAGTTAGGAGTATTGAAGATGTTCTAGCTTCTAAGGTAAAGTTACTTTACATATACTTCTCTATATATGCGAGACGGTTTATTTTTTGTAAAAGCTGGAGATCTTGCAAAATACAACTTTGTACTTTTGGTAAATTTACTTTACTTTAGAACTCTATAGTAAAGCATATGTATATGACTCCAATAAGTTTTTTTAAATAAGAATTGGAAGGAACCCATGTTCAATCTTGTGAAAAAATGGAATTGTGAACTGGAAGTAGAATAAAGTTTTGACAAAATCTGATTTGAAAGAAACTAAGACAAAAGAGGGTGATTAACTTCCTTTTTAAAGGATTAAATTGATTATTAAACTTGGAATTATAAAAAAAAAAGTGATTATTTATTTTAATTAGGAAATGCTGTTAAATGATACTATATTTTGTTTTAGGAGAAAGAAAGATCTGATTTACTTGACCAGTACCGAGCACTGTCCTCGGAGGCTGAACAATATCAAACTGCCACCCACCAGTTGGAGAGCGAGGGCTCAAACATGAGGCTTGAGATCATGACCAAAGACTCAGAACTTAGAAGACTCAAGGACAAAGTTGATAACTATGAGAGAGAAATTCAGGAGGTATGTTTCCTAAATGTTTCTTATTATTATATCTTAGTCAGGAATGGGCATTGTTTTCTGTGCTCTTTAAGAATGTTTTATCTGACATTGAAAATTTATGCAGGATAAAGAATTGCAGCATTGGAAGGCATTACTTTTAAATGATGTAATATGATATATAAATATATTAACTCATCTTCACAAGTTCAAAGAATCATTTGTATGTGGTTAATGTGTAAGTTGTACATATTAACAATGATGGGACTAGAGATAAAATAATCATGTTAAAGTTATAACTAGTCTTAGTACAAATTATTAGAGAATGAAAAGATGATTTATGAGCTTACGGTAGATCAAATTTTCTGCTTCATTATTATTTTATTTTTAGCTCACCTGTCACAAAGTGACAGGGTGAGCTTTTGTGATCGCTTTTCGTCCGGCGTCAGTCCGTCCGTCCGTCCGTCCGTAAACTTTTGCTTTAAATGACATCTCCTCATAAACCACTGAGCCAATTTCATCTAAACTTCATAGGAATGTTCCTTTGGTGGTCACCTTTAAAAATTGTTCAAAGAATTTAATTCCATGCAGAACTCTGGTTGTCATGGCAACCGAAAGAAAAATCTTTAAATATCTTCTTTTAAACAACCCTAAGAGCTAGAGCTTAGATAATTGGCATGAAACATCTTCTAGTGAGTGTCTATCAAGTTTGTTCAAATAAAAGCCCTGGGGTCAAAATTGGCCCAGCCCCAGGGGGTCATTGATTTTCCCTATATGCATATAGTAAAAACTTAAAAAATCTTCTTTTAAAGAACCCAAAGAGCTAGAGCTAAGATATTTGGCATGAAACATCTTCTAGTGAGTGTCTACCAAGTTTGTTCAAATAAAAGCCCTGGGGTCAAAATTGGCCCCGCCCCAGGGGGTCATTGATTTTCCCTATATGCATATAGTAAAAACTTAAAAAATCTTCTTTTAAAGAACCCAAAGAGCTAGAGCTAAGATATTTAGCATGAAACATGTTCTAATGAGTGTCTACCAAGTTTGTTCAAATAAAAGCCCTGGGGTCAAAATTGGCCCTGCCCCAGGGGGTCATAGATTTTCCCTATATGCATATAGTAAAAACTTAAAAAATCTTCTTTTAAAGAACCCAAAGAGCTAGAACTAAGATATTTGGCATGAAACATCTTCTAGTGAGTGTCTGCCAAGTTTGTTCAAATAAAAGCCCTGGGGTCAAAATTGGCCCCGCCCCGGGGGATCATTGATTTTCCCTACAGTACGCTCACCGCGGGTTTTGCTTTTTCCGCGATACCACCGCGGACGATTTTTTTTTATCGCGGACAAACGCGGGGGTTCGTCCGCGATGAGAAGCCTAATTTCCCCGCGATCCCCGGTGTTCAGTTGTTTCCACCGCGGACAAAATTCTGACGACCGTTCTTCATTTATTGATAAAATCAGTCACCCGTTTCCCGCGGGGGAACGCCATGGTCAGTTGGTCAGTATAAATAAACCTCCAAAAAATAGACGTTTTATTATTTTTTAACGTCATCTTTTTTACACAATGACTTGAAAATTAACCACAATGGTCTCCTTAAATGTTATTATACGTTAAATTATTTGAACGGAATTTGAAATAAAAATAATTACAGCTGTACCTGTTTTTGTTGTTGTTTTTGATATTTTTGTTATAAACGCCCACAAAACTATTCGTCCACATACCAATATTTTTACAACTGAAATTGTCATTTATCACTGTCATCTTTACTTGTTCATTCCTTGTGGTTCTATAAGTATTATTGCTGTTAAACTATATGGGAGCCATAAATATGATACTTAGTAAAAAAAGGACATTTGTGCTGATTTCTCAATGATGACTGACGCTACAGTACATGTCCTGTAAGAGGTCGATGAGTGTGAATACAAGTTTAACAAAATTCTGCAAAAAAAAAAATTATAAAAAAATAAAAAAGAACAAGCAAACAAACTACTAAAACAACAGTTGATACAAACTTCAAAACATATACATTACGCTCACACCTGTAATTAGATAAATCAAGAATATCATTTAATGTATATTTTGGTGAAATAAACGCTTTCTTTTAATGTTCCAAATAAAATATAAGACTTTATGATCAACGTGCAAATAAACAGAAACAGTAAAACGCATCTGACAATTGAAAGAGACGTCCTGGAATATTGCCTGAATAAAATTGTTGAGGGTTACGTTTTCAAAGTTTTTAAATAAGAAACAAAAGCTGGCATATAAATTGTTGTAGTATCTTTTCCATAAATGTCATATGCCGAATTTTTCATTATTTGACTTCAAGTTTCTCACTACCATGAAGTTGCGACGACAATGATTTATCTTGATGTCGAATACATATTATACATTACCCAACACAATAACAAGAAGAAGAACAAGAAAAACACTGCATTTGTACATGTATTTTTATTACAACAAAAAAGAAAGAAAACAAACAAATTTTACATAAAGTTACATGTATATGTACAGTACATGTATCAGTACATGTACGTACATATACTGATGTTTAAATACAGTAATTAATTTTTAAAATTTAAGGTTTCCACTGCGTTGACCGGTGTTTGACCGCCGCGTTCCTCCGCAATTTACCACTGCGTTCCGCGGGGGAAACGGTTTCAGCCGCCGATTTATGTCCGCGGTGGTGAAAATTTTCTGTCAGCGGGGTCACGCGGACAATATCTGAGCAAATTTTCGTCCGCGGTAAACCTCATCCGCGGGGTCACGCGGGTTTTGAAAAAGCCGCGCTGAGCGTACTGTATATGCATATAGTAAAAACTTAAAAAATCTTCTTTTAAAGAACCGTAAGAGCTAGAGCTTAGATATTTGACATGAAACATCTTCTAGTGAATGTCTACCAAGTTTGTTCAAATAAAAGCCCTGGGGTCAAAATTGGCCCCGCCCCAGGGGGTCATTGATTTTCCCTATATGCATATAGTAAAAACTTAAAAAATCTTCTTTTAAATAACCCAAAGAGCTAGAGCTAAGATATTTAGCATGAAACATGTTCTAATGGGTGTCTACCAAGTATGTTCAAATAAAAGCCCTGGGGTCAAAACTGGCCCTGCCCCGGGGGGTCATTGATTTTCCTTATATGTGTATAGCAAAAACTTAAAAATCTTCTTTGAAAAAAACCCAAAGAGCTAGAGTTTAGATATTAAGCATGAAACATCTTTAAGTAAATATCTACAAAGTTTGTTCAAATAAAAGCCCGGGGGTCAAAACTGGTCCTGCCCAGGGGTGTCATTATTTTTAACTATATGTGTATAGAAAAAACTTAAAAAATCTTCTTTTAAAAAACCCAATGAGCTAGAACTTAGATGTTTAGCATGAAACATCTTCTTATGGGTGTCTACCAAGTCTGTTCAAATAAAAGCCCTTGGGTAAAAATTGGCCGGGGGGGGGGGGGGGGGGGGGCTATATACAGGTGAGCGACCTCAGGGCCATCATGGCCCTCTTGTTTTTATTTCATAAATGTTTGAAATTAATATTTTTTCTTTTATATTCCAATCTTCAGCATCTTAATGCTGAGCAGGCCTATGAGCTGCAAGTATCCAATCTGATCCGCTGTGTGGCCAACTTGGAGGATAACCTCAGACAGACGGACGATGATAAGAACACACTTCTCAATGACCTGACAGCTGTACGTGAGCTCTGCTCAAGACTTGAGGGAACTAAAGAATCTCTACAGAGACAGTTGACGGCTCTTACCATTGATAAAGAACAGGTTTGTTTGTAATTAATTGGTTGTTATAATTTTCTGCTTTTAAAGACATAACATTTTAAAGAATAGGTTTGTTTGTGATGTCTTATTGTCTGGTTTGGAATACCATATGCTATTGATTTAGTTCTATCAACCAGATTTTCTAATGGCTATTAGAGTAGCGAAAATTGGTGAGAAAATGACTGAATATAAGAAATTTCTTCTGTGCATAACTCTTCCTATCTACATTTTTCAAGGAACTTCAATCATTTTTTCAAACTTTTAGAGTGTTTTTCATCAAGTGCATTGTGCATTTTGTTAGGATTTTGTCATCTTATCATTTTCTGGGCTTTTATTCCATTTATATTAATGATAGTTCATTATTTGAAAGTTTACATTGTTTATTGCCCTTACAGCTTCAAAGCCAGTCAGAAGATATTGCCCAGGAATGTGAGTTATACCGCAGTCAGCTGACCTCTGAGCGCCAATCCAACAAGAACCTGGAGGGTCTGCTACAGAACAATAGAGAGAAAGAGTTCCAGTCACAACTACAAACACAGGAACATAGTGCTGAGATACAGATGCTGAAAGATAGACTGTCATTGAATGAGAGTAAAATGTAAGTTAAGTTGTTTCTGAATAGAGAATGTCATCAAATCTTGTAATTTCAGAAGTTTTTGTAGGTTAAATGTTTAACGGCAATACTATTTTTAGATTTTAAACATTACCTTTGCTTTTTATGAGTAGATAGCTCATTTTGTTTGTATTTTGATAATTTTGCTCAACAACAATTACAAAACATATCTGATTATGGAGTAACTATTATCCGTTAGGAACATACCATACACAAAATATAGCATGCATCTGGAAAAAATTCAATTGCAATACAAACAAAATGTCATATCTTGTCATAAAGAAACAAAAGTGATGTTTAAAACCAATCTAAAATTTCTTCAGCTGTTGGACTGAAACTAAACTTGTTACTGGTTATTGAAATTTCTAACCGTTTTTTGGCAAATAATTGACCTAACACGTTTAAACGGATGAACGTAACACTCCTAATAGTAACTTCTTCTTCAGCAGGTCTTCTTTTAGCTTATATTTGAAATAAATAATTTTATCAAGTTGATGAAAATGTAATTATAAATGACAGAGTGGCTTGATTTAATGTTTAATTTATTTATATTACAGCCAAAGTCAGAGCCGAGAGATTGCCTCTTTACGTACACGTAATGTAGAACTAGAAGGTGATGTAGAGAGACTCCGTAGACAGTTGACCAGCGAGAAATTTGAGAGGTAAATACAACCACTTTATTTATAAGAATATATCCCAGTGTTACCTTTGCTGAGCTTTCCTGTTTTGCTGTGAAATCATTTAAACATTTGTAATAATTGTGTACATTATGTTTTGAGGGTTATTTTGCTTTTCGTTTCATTGATTTAGACATTTTTTTTTTCATAACACTCTTGCATTTGTAAAATGTGAAGTTGAAATGGCAGTGAATTTCATGCTTATATAATCAGTTAAAATATTGTATCATACAAGGGTTTATATTTAATAAATATTTCATTATATAATGAAACTAAAAAAACTCTGGTAAATTTTGACATAAGGAAAGTTAATTTTGTTCTTAATTAATCATTTTAGAAAAGATAGCCTTGGTTATCTTGTTATCGAAAGCCATCATGGAGAATTGAGTCATGTACATCATTCTGTAGTTCTTATCACATATATGTATTTCACATATTAACATACTCAACCCATCATCATAATTAGATTTTGGAGTGTTATACCCAATTGATCAGAGGGTTTCAAAAGCAGTTTTTGTGTCGCCTTGAAAAGGTGACATATAGGGGTTACTTTTGTCGGCGGTGTCGGCGGCGGCGTCTGTGTCGTTGTCGGGGTCGGCGTCCCCTAAAGCTTGTCCGGAGCATAACTCAGTCACTATAAGTCTGATTGACTTCAAACTTGGTATGCATGCTTCTTTCAATAACCCGAAGTGCAGTGCACAAGTACCGGTACTCTGCAGTTCTTATTTTTTGAGTTATTGCCCTTTGTTAATTTTCATACTTTAATTTTGTCCGGGCCATTTCTCTTCAACTAAAAAAGCTATGGACTTGAAACTTCATAGGATGATAGATCTCATTATTAAGAAGTGCAGTGCACAAGAACCAGTACTCTGCACTACCTAATTTTTGAGTTATTGCCCTTTGTTAATTTTCATACTTTAATTTTGTCCGGGCCATTTCTCTTCAACTAAAAAAGCCATGGACTAGAAACTTCATAGGATGATAGATCTCATTATTAAGAAGTGCAGTGCACAAGAACCAGTACTCTGCACTTCCTAATTTTTGAGTTATTGCCCTTTGTTAACCCATTACTTCATATACACGCCTTTTAACGCCTTTTTCACCCCCCCCCCCCCCCCACTTTTTGTTGTCTCAAATGATGAAAAAATGCCTTATTTAGGCCCCAAACACTTGTTTTTGTTTGAGAAATGTTGTTAAAAAAAGTGACCTCTTTTACGGCGCGGCCCCCCAACCAAAAGATACATCAGGGGGTTGCCAGAAGGGGGATGTGCCCCCTTCTGTTTGGGGGGTTTGAAGGGGGCGGAGTCCCCCTCATCGCCAAGAAAATTTTAGACATGTGAGAGGCTGTAAATGACCCCAGATTGATCATAAGGTAACGTGTAACCAACGCTGAAAAGCATATGACTCTATATCAATCCATTGAGAAGTTGCAGCACTTTGAAATCAATTTTGATGGAAAAAATCAACGCAAAATAGTGATTTTTGGCAATTTTGAGATGTCCCCTCGTTGCCATGGTAACAGAAAATTTAAGCCTGAGCATGTTGTTGCAAGGGCAATGGTCCAGTCAACATTTGTGCCAAGTTTGATTAGTGTTGAAGCAGTTTTTATAGTATTATAGCAATTTGAACTTGTAACGGGAGACTTTTCAAATGAAAACAGCCATTTTTCACAAAATGCTCATGAAGTTAAATGGGTTAATTTTCATACTTTATTTTTGTCCGGGCCATTTCTCCTTAAGTATAAAAGCTATGGACTTGACACTTCATAGGATGATAGATCTCATTATTAAGAAGTGCGGTGCACAAGAATCGGTACTCTGCATTTCTTAATTTTTGAGTTATGGCCCTTTGTTAATTTTCATACTTAATTTTTGTCCAGGCCATTTCTCCGAAAGTATAAAAGTTATGGACTTGAAACATCATAGGATGATAGTTCTCATTAAAAAGAAGTGCAGTGCATAAGAACTGATACTCTGCATTTCTTATTTTTGAGTTATTGCCCTTTGTTGATTTTCTTACTTTATTTTTGTCCTGGTCATTTCTCCTCAAGTATGAAAGCTATAGACTTGAAACATCATAGAATGATAGATCTTATTGATAAGAAGTGCAGTGTACAGAAACTGCTGCTCTGCACTTATTGCCCTTTGTTATTTCATTTTTGTCCTGGCCATTTCCCCTAAACTACATTGTTCACAAGGCGACACATCCGACTCGCGGAGTTCTAGTTTACTTGGTCATATGACATGCTGAGTTTTGTACATAGTAAAAACTATTTTTTTTTTCACCAAAATTGTTGTTAATAGTGCAATGAGTGCATCTACAGCAATGTCAGGACGTAGTGTTCAATATTTCTTTTGAGATTTGGCAAGCGTGGTTTAAGCTGACTCATTTTGGTTTTTTTTCTTGTATTTAATAGAAGAAAAATTTGGGAAAATATCATTTTGAAAAAATTGTTTAGGGGGTGATAGGTTTTTTTTATTCTGGCAATAGACAATTCTTTGTTCATATGATTAGAGATTTGCATCCTGTTCTTCAATAAAGGATGTGGTTTATATGGTTTAACATTTTTGTCTGTGATTCTTATCTGAATTAAATAGTTTCTCATAAATAAATAAAGAAAGTCAGTAAGACAACATTTTCAGAGAATGAATTCAAGGTTCACTTAAATAAATATGCGATGAACTGTAGTACATCTAAGCAATGGATATTGTACGCCAGCTGGATTTATTTACTACAGAGATATATATTTATAAATTGTTGGGGTTTGTTATTTATGTTTTAGACAGAGGGAGAGGAATAATTATCTATTTGATACTTCATATGAGAGTATGAGGAACACTGATTACCTGGTATAATATTATAGTCCTGCTTCGTGTCTGCATGCATGTGCTGCCTATACACTGTTTATATCATACAAGTCTTTATATCATACAAGGGTTTATATCATACAAGAGTTTATATCATACAAGGGTTTATATCATACAAGGGTTTATATCATACAAGGGTTTATATCATACAAGGGTTTATATCATACAAGAGTTTATATCATACAAATCTTTATATCATACAAGGGTTTATATCATACAAGGGTTTATATCATACAAGAGTTTATATCATACAAATCTTTATATCATACAAGGGTTTATATCATACAAGGGTTTATTAATACAACTTTTTATATGCCATATAAGGGTTTATTTTAATGTAGACATATCATACAGAGGTTTATATTATACAAATTTATCATACAAGGTTTTATTTCATAAAAAGTTATATCATACAATTGTTTATTTCAAACAAACATGTAATAATATATCATATAAGGTTATTCCCCCTATAAAAAGGTATTATCACATAATACGCGGCGCAGGAGTGTAATAAAGCCATTTTATAAAAACGATATTACACTAGTGTAATAACACTTTGACGTGACGTCATTTGCGCTATATATATACATAGCATTGAAGCGCGCTATTGCTAGCGTTACACTATAGGCGCGTCATTGAAAAATTACTCTTTTCAACAGTTTACTGTTCTCATATTTTAGATGTGATAAATAGAATATTATATTCGTGTAGTTCAATACTAAATTTATTAAACTCGTTGAATAAAACAATATTATGCTCGCCAGAGGCTCGCATAATATGATTTTATTCAACTCGTTTAATAAATTTATTATTAAACTACACTCATTCAATATCCTCTATATATTACATAATACAAGGGTTTATTTTATATAAACATTGAAATTTTTGTTTTAAGTGTACAAAAGTTCATATCATACAGTCATGACACTTGCTCTTAGACAATGAAATGGTAACAGATTAGTTAAGCAACTAAGCAAGAGTTTAAAAAATGATCATTTCAGAACTACATTATGATATTTGCTTTAAAGTAATTGAATAGATACATTTATAAGTATATACCTGAGTGACAACACACAGCCATTATCAAGGATTAAAATGGAACAAGACATGTAAATTTACTTGATCAATTCAATTAATCAGCTCACAGATTTTTATAATGTAATGTTTTGGAATAATTATTTTATCTTGATAAAGCATAAGAAGAAATGCATGGTTCCCTTTAAATATTTTTTTCAAATACATTTATATGCTGTAGTAAATGGTGATGTGGTAAATTGTATAATTGTAAACTAACATACATGTATATCTACTCTAACATCATACTGTGGCAGGATATATATATTTTGACAATAAGAATAGGGTTGATGGGTTTTATATATCTTATATACAGACAATATTACCTTGCTTGTACATGTATGTCCTAATTGGTGAATGAAAACAATAAAAAAAAATTGAAATAATGTTAGAGTTTTTTGAATGGAACGTAAATCAACTGCATGTGAATTTTCGCTTTCCATTTTAAGAAGTTTTTATAATGTAACAAGAAACCTCTTGGCATGTTTTGACAGAATAGCCAGACAATTTTAGGGTTTTGTTGGGCAGTATTGTCTGATAATGTTTTTAGAATTGCATTCAGTTATAATATTGTCTTTTTACGACCATCATCATGTTAAACTTCTTATAATACTATTTATTTGATTCAACATTTATAAATTTAAAACAGTGTTAAGACATTACGACATTATCTTTGATGCAATTAGCTTTGTATTCATGAAGAAAATTAAGGTTTTAAGAATAGAATTGAAACTCCATGATAAGATGATATCAACATTTGTATCTAATTAGTATAATTTATTTGATACTTGATATTAAGTATTTTATAATAACACATGTGTATGTTACAGGGAGCGGGCAGTGCAGGAATTGAGACGACATGGGCTCGTACCACCGACCCCTACTATGGACTACACGAGCAGCACCAGCAGGTATACAGGTCAACAAGTCCCATTCAGGTCTCCAAAAGGTCTCGCTCACGAAAGTCCTACCCAGGTAGTCCATTATATAAAATTTTATATATATAGAATACTAAATATATTCAATCTAATCTATAAGTCATTGATTTTGTATATTGAACATGTGTATGATAGTTCAGTCTCTGTAAAAATATAAATATTTCATATTCCCATGCTTATTTGGTCATTCAAATTGGCAAAGATTGCATATTTTAAGATAATTACTTAAACAAAAATAATAAAATTATGTCATAGAATGTAGAAAATGTATATTTAGCTATTTATCAACTGTTTTAAGAACAAATGTATTTACAACATAATATTAAACCAGTAGCTTTATGCATGATCTGTGTAAATTTGATGTTAGTGACTTCTATAGTATGAAATAAATTTGGAAGATTTCTATTAAATATTTCAACATCTGATCATTAAAATATTTCTCCATGATGATAGTTTACTAAATAACATAAATTCCTTTCAGAATTCAGGAGCCGTAGCCAGAAACATCGTATCTAAGTTCTTCCCGTCGTCGATCACCTGACCGCAGTGGCTACTCCCTAGAGGATCCCGACACTGCAACTAAAAGTTACAACTCCGATCTACTTTGTATAACTTATAGAACAATTTATATAACATTCTTTATTTATGAACAAAAAAGAACTGTGAAAAGTTTGTTTTTCGAAAATAGTTTTTGTAAATTCATACAAATTGTTTTTGCGAGAGAATAAAAGTAAAAAAATATTTTTTGAAAGATTGCATGCAAACACTGTCTTTACTTAATAATAAAAGAATGAATGAAATTGCATTGTGACATTCAACTGTCAACATCAAGTGAAAGCTATTTTTTGTTATTTACCAGAAGTGCCGAAATGATTTTTATATGTTGTGGCCTTTTTATAAAAGGGACCAAGTACGTACATAGAACGTTTTTGTATTTATGATTTGAAAGGAAAGGGAATCTTAAGCAAATCCTTTTTGATTCACAACATTTATTGCACGGATGGTAAATGTTTGAGTGATTATTCACTGGTTTTATGTTATGGGCCGTCAATAATGCTTCAAGTCCTGTATAATGTTGTGAATCATGGATAAATGTTTGATGGGGAAAAACAATTTGTTTTAATAAGTTATTATGGTAGAAATTAAAAAAGATGTGTTATTTATGTAAAAAAAGTATTTTTGTAGTGTGTGCTACTGTGATAAATATTATCTTAACTTGTCAAAGTTCCTTGTTTTAGAAAGACTATCTATCCAGGACAGATATGATGCTGTACTTGTATTCTTGGAAAAAGGAATGGAAAGAATTGAATTTTTTCACTTTTTTCGGTGGTTTTTAGCTCATTTGTAGCTGTTATTCTATGATAGAAAATTGTTTTGTTAAAGCAAGAACTGAATAGGAAGAACCAGTATATCTGTGTGATATTATTCCCCTATATAGGGTTACTTTACCAATCAAATGTGCTGTTATATAGCTTGAAAACTTATTTGTTTGAAGCCATTTGATTGGCTGAAAGATCAAGTGTAAAAAAAAATATAAAAAAATTGGTATTTATTGATTTTGAATACTGATGGAGTTCTATATTCTCCATATTTAATTGCAGCACTTTATATATTTTGCAAATGGTAGGCTAAATAGGCCATCTTTGCTGTTTGTGTTTTAAATTTCACTTTCATTCCAAATCCGTCCAGTGTCTTGTAGATTTGCTATATTTATTTTTTTTCTTTATATTTTGTTCTTGACATTTTGTAGATTAATTTATGATATTTTAATTATTTATGTATTGTATTGTCATCAAAAACTAACACCATATTTTTTTTAATTTTGTAAAAAAAAATATCAGGAAATGTTTTTATATTTTCATCGAAACTTTTGTTTATGACTTACCACACTTGCATAGAATCTCAAAAAAGTGGTGAAATTTTCATGTGGTCCATCTGAGCATCAGAAGAAACATGTGTATGTTACCAGTATTGAGCAGGGATAGTGTGCGTCTGCACAGCCTGACCAGACCCGGTACTGATAGCCAATGAATCCACGGCCCAGACCATCATAAAACCTGAGCAACATAAAGCTTAAAAGATACAGCATCACTTTTTGTTTTACTAAAGATCTTTTTTTTTTTTTATTCATGGTATGTGAAAAAATATGCCCAATTTTAAAATTGATGACATAGTATTTAAGGTAGATGATGACAAGGTGATAGTATAAGGTGGCTTAGAAACTTTACTGCCAGATATTCTTTCTAGTTTATAGTCACCTCAATAAATCTATGTAGAAAGTTTGTAGTTTGATAACAGGTATGAACACACATTCATGTATATCTTTGCATTAATTTAAAAATGTATGCTTTGACAAAAATGTGTACAAGTAGTGTAGTTGAAACATATACAGTATTTTTTTGAATTTTTAAGAAAGTAAAAATCAGAAATCCAATATCTTTGTTGTCTTTTATATCCTTTAAAACATTTTCATTAGAACGGCAGTGCTTTTATTTAAAAGAAATTTATAGTGTCTTGAAATATAATGATGCTGAATAGCATTTGCCCCATCGTCGGATACATACGGTTGATAAATATTGATGGTTTGGCTGTGGGGTATCTGACGATGCATTTGCCATTTATATTTAGCACTTAAATTGACTTCACTTATTCATGTAGTCTTTTTATCTGCATCGGAAGCAGCATCAGTGCATTGATTGCTGTGCCATCGTTAGATTGACTATCTAAATAACCTACTCATCAGGCTATCCATGTCCTTGTTACTTCTATTTGGACATGTCCGTATATAATATGAAGTCCAGACTACATGTCAATATATCAACTGCATGGCTCAGTTATAATTACTAATATATTTTTTAAGGCAGAGATGCATGTTTTCATGTATAAACATATAAAATGAATCACTATTGCCTAGTTTTTAGTTATTTTTGATGTCAACTTATCAACTGTAGTGGTATTAAAAGACCATTTATTAGGAACTCATTCAGAACCTCAAAGAAGTACCAGACAAATGCCTGCTATTAACTTGTCACGGAGCAAATGTTTACCATTTATAAACATTTGAGGGGCAAATGCCTGCCACAGCAAAAATATGGGAGCAAATATCTGAGGGGGGCAAATGTCTTAAAATCCCCCATTAGCTTCTTAGTCAGTACTCATTTTAAGCTCGACTATACGAAGTATATGGAGAGCTGTCCTACTCGCCTCGGCGTCGGCGTCCGCGTCCAGATTTCAGATTAAAGTTTTGGTGCAGTAAAATATTTTTCACTATAACTTTGTCATTTCTTAAGGTATCAACTTCAAACTTCAAATATATGTTCCTTATCATCAACCACATCTTATGTGACAAGGTTCATAACTCTAGCACCAATATTTTCAGATTTATCTTCCCTTGAACTTAGAATTTTCCTTAAAAAATACTATTTTTTACTGTAACTTCTTTATTTCTTAGGGGATCACCCTCATACTTCAAATAAATGTACCTTATCATCATCCCTATCTTATGTGACAAGGGTCATAACTTTAGCACCAATGTTTTTAAGATTTATCTCCCCTTGAACTTAGAATTTTCCTTTAAAAATAATATTTTTTACTGTAACTTCTTTATTTCTTAAAGGATCACCCTCATACTTCAAATATATGTACCTTATCATCATCCCCATCTTATGTGACAAGGTTCGTAACTCTAGCACAAATAATTTCAGATTTATCTCCCCTTGAACTTAGAAATTTCCTTAAAAAAATATTATTTTTTACTGTAACTTATTTATTTCTAAAGGGATCAACTTCATACTTCAAATATATGTATCTTATCATCATCCATATCTTATGTGACAAGGTTCATAACTCTAGCACCAATATTACAAAAATTATCTCCCCATAAACTTAGATTTTTTTACTAGAAAAATGTTATTTTTTACTATAACTTTTTTAGTTTTAAAGGTATCTACTTCAAACTTCAAATACTTATTCCTTATCATCAATTACATTTTATGTGACAATGTTCATAACTCTTGAAGCAATTTTTACAGATTTAACTCTCTTTGAACTTAGGATTTTCTTTAAGAAATATTATAACTTCTTTACTTTTTAAGGTATCTACTTGAAACTTCAAATATATATTTCTTATCATAACACACATGTGTGACAAGGTTCATAACTCTAGCGTGACTATTTCTAGAATTATTTCCCTTGATCTTGGAATTTATGTTAACATATGTTATTTTTTTACTATAACTTAATACATATTAATACATAATTGATTTTTCTTTCATAGTTTTGTCCTCCTTACTGCGTCCAGTATTTTATTAGTCGAGCTTGGCTGTCTCCTGTGACAGCTCTTGTTATGCTCCCAAAAGGGTGAGCATATAGTTCCGGCTTTGTCTGTCGAGGACATAACTGAAACTATAAGAGATATCAACATGAAACTTTGTAGGCAGACATTATCATTGGGTAGATCTGCAGTGCAAAAGAATCATTACTTTGCCTTGCATAATATTGGAGTTATTGCTCTTTGTTCATTTTTTTTTCACTTTGAACTTTGTCCGAGACATAACTCTGACTCTATAAGAAATATGAACAATAAACTTTGTAAGTAGGTCATTCTCATTGGGTAGATGAGCAGTGCAAAAGCACCATGACTTTGCTTTGCCTATTTTGGAGTTTTTGCCCTTAGTTCATACTTTCACTTTAACTCCGATACTATAAGAGATATCAACATGAAACTGTGAGTAGATAGATCTGATTGTGTAGATATGCTGTGCAAAAGAACTTTAACTCTGCCTTGCCTATTTTGGAGTTATTGCCCTTTTTTAATTTTACACTGAACTTTGTCAGGATAATTATTGTGAAACTACATCTACAAGAGGTATCAACAAGAAAATAAATCTGTAGATAGATCTCAACCATACATCATACCTGAATTTTATCCTTTTATCATACACAGAATTAAGTCCCTTTATCATTAAGTGAATTAAGTCCCTTTTTAATGACCTGAATAAAGTCCCTTTAACAAAACTTGATTTTAGTCCCTTAATCATAAACTGAAGAAAGTCCCTTTTGTGATATCCTGAATTAAGTCCCTTTATTATGTTTGGCAATCATAATCTTTTTGTTTGTAATATCCTACTGTTAATGATCTTTACTCCCAAATTTTAGCAAAATTTATCTTACATACTCTACCTTTTCAGTGCAAAGAACAGTAACTCTGCCTTGGCAAATTTTGGAATTGCTGCACTTTTGTCTGAAACTACAAGATATATTCATCTGGCTCTTGTTTAAGTTTTTGCTAAAGCTAATGAATGTTTTAGTCCAGATTGAAAGATATTTTGTGTAATAAAGGTTTATTGAAAATTGAAATACTTCCAGTTCTTTAATTATCATAGACAAACCAGTTCTCAAACCTCTGATCATTTAAGAGACCTTTAAGTATCAATATAAAAAAATCTTTATAAACTTTCTTAATATAATATACACTTTAATCTTTATTTAAAATTTCTGTTAAATTTTAAAGCTCAGTTTCCTATTCATTGTATTCATTTGACAGCAGCAGACATGTCTATCAAAAACTAAGCTTTTTAAGACCCTGATTATAGGTTTATGTATCAACTGAGGAAGCTGAATAAAGCGAAACATGTTTTGATACTTAATTTGTGTTGGTTTTTGATCCAATTATCCTAGTAAAAAATAAACAGCTCATGAGTGGTTGGGTGTGAGAATCTTACCTATTTAGTGATGTTGAACCGGTAACATATTTAGTGGTTTTATACCTAAAAATAGTGCTGTTTAATGTTAATGACGCAATAGGTATTTCCCGAACGTTCTATTTTTGAAACGAGGCTGTTCAAAAATAGCTATAAATAGTAAATGAATTCCCAATTCTGCCAAATCACTGTTCCATTTAAAACAGAGAGGTTTTAACAACTATTGTCAACCAAAAAAGATGGAATTTCCGCATATAGGAAAGCACTGCTTTCAGAAAGATTGTAAACAATTAGGTTTGTATTTGTTTTGTAAATTGAATAGAAAATTATAGCTAGATTTCTATAACAAAATTGTATCAACAAGTTAGGTAAAAATGGGTGGGTGGGGTAAACTTAGCGTTACACTGTTAGAGAGAATTCACGGAATTTCCGTAAAAAATACCCTCATAAATTTTTCTTTAAGTCTGTAAAAAGGTTTTAATAGGAAAGAATAATTCAGAACTTCTTTAGAACTGTTCGCCATATTTCATCCAGACCTATCTATACTGTGCTCCCCTTAGTTCACGGTACTTAACGCTTTGAAACCAGTAAGAAAACAACAAATGAAGCGTATGGTACAAAAATTGTCATAAGCTATAACATATAGGTATTTTCTGCTGTATGACACAAGGAAACAACAATACTTTCAGTCAAAGTCAAGTTTAATGGACCAAACATAGACCATATTTCGGTCATTTTGAAAGAACCAAGTCATCAATTAAATCGCGGTAATGGTGTTACATTTCAGTTTTTTCATATTTCAGTTACAATTTCTACATGTTATTTTGCTTGATTTTAAATATTACAATTATCCTTACTTTGTAACTCAAAATTTATTTTTTCAAAAAACAAGAACATTTAGAAAATGATGATTGTTTCAGACATAGGCACACATTTAATGGACTATTATTGCTTTTTGCAGAAATTTGTAAAATGTTGTTCTGTTTTACGTAAAAATCTAGAGATTTAAAATATTTTGCACAAAAATTTTGTTGTATTGATGTATCAATAAAAAATGTCAATTCTGACCAATTTTAACACTGGTCAGATGAAAATATGCCATTACCGTGAAATAAGTGATGACGCGGAATTAGTGATGTTGAGTATATGACATTTCCATTTCATGTTTTCCATTTTATTATCATTTTAAAGATATTGCAATTACTTGAATGTTGTTTTACAAGTTCAAGTTCTGTTATAACAACTTCTTGGATTAACCTGTTTAGTTACACACACATTTATATTTATAATGAGATCCATTTTGTTACTATTTCAGATTTCCTACCTATGAAATGTGATGCTTGTTCAGAGATATTTTGGTAAGAATTGAAAGGAAAGGAATCTCAATATTTTAGAGTACAGTAATTTCTTTATAAAAGTTAAATGTAAAATTCATTCTGAAAAATGTTGCAGTTAGTTGCACAGTGGCTACTGTGTCTTCCAGAAAAAATGACCATGGATCATATGTAATGACTGGCTTGTTCTTGGATGAGGGGTGAAGTGTCTTACTGATTTTGAGGGGTGAAGTGTCTTCAAAATTTGAGGGGTGAAGTGTCTGGGGGGTGAAGTGTCTTGCTACCCTTGTTCTTATATAATATAGCAGTTAGCTGTCAGGAAGAAATACATGTATTGGGTAAATGCATCAGAGTCACCCTTATATAGTACAAACTGTAGTGGTTAAGGAAGGTCAATTATTGAAGAATGCCATAACTATTTAAATAAATATAAAGGTTTTTGAACAATTCTAAGATATTGTAAAGGTAAATTAATACAGCTCATTCTGTTTTATTTCAGTAATGACCATATTCACTACAACACACATTCCTGTCCTGATTCTTACAAGAAGGTTAGTATCTTTACTCTCTTGTAGTATTGTCTTGCCTATACATGTAGATACTGAGTTTAAAAGAATGGTGAGCTTGTACATTGATGCAATTTGATTTCATTAATCTGATTTAATCAGATTAATGAAATCAAATTGCATCAATGTACAAGCTCACCATATAAAACATTGACTTAGTTATTCAGTTTTATTTTAATGTCTTAGTAAAATATGGTATGGTTAACTGATTGCTTGCTTGTTGTACATGTATTAAGTGTTAAAACAAATTGTTTTTTCAAATTATTTGGTATTTCCTCATTTTTATGTGGCTATGTTATATTGAGTATATACTTTTGAAACCATTTCGCTCTTTATATTCTCTTTTTGATCAACATACATGTATGTATTCTCTATTTTAACATGAAGTTCAGTCTCCAAAAGAGGTAAAATAATACAATATTTGGAATTTATACAAACTTTCAATGAAGTTAATATATGCTTAAATTATTACCTATGTATTTGTATTATTGAATTGCAATATTAATCTCATGTGCAGAATACTTATAATATTAATATATCTCAATATATGTGTTTATATTTCTAAACAAGGATAACCAAGTGCCTGTTTGTCCTCTATGTAACAAACCAATTCCTCTAAAGAAAGGAGAGGTACCAGATACAGTTGTAGGACGACATATAGACAGTGACTGTCAGTCAGATCCTGCTAAAGAAAGAAGAAAAGTATGTACCAGTCCACTGGTTATAGAATTAGATTGATTATTCATTAATATAAAATATAGTCTTGCAACAGATGTCAAATGGTTTCACTGTATTTTAGAAACTTTCATAAACCATATTATAGATGAAATTGAATGGGTGTAGGGTCCATACTAAATTTATTCAACAAATGAAATAAAATTATGCTAAGCAATCCTCTGTAAAGAATATTATTTTATTCAACATTGAAGTTCAAAAAATTAAGCAGTGAAGCAAAGATTATATGAAAATTTTTGTCTTTTAGTGATGATTAAGAATGTCACACTTAGTTTTCTTGTTTTGTAAGTGCATGCTTTCTGGGTTAATAAGCTATGAATTTGGTAATTAACAAATACCAAATAAGTGTTTTGGGGAGAAAAAAAAACAAGAAAAAAAATTAAATAGCAAAGTGTCTTGGTATTCTACTGAAATAGTTCTTGCCTATTAATTAATACAGAATAATTATTTCTACCTTACAGGTATATACAAACAAGTGTTCTATGAAAGGTTGTAAAGTTAAAGAATTAATTCCAGTAAAGTGTGATAAATGCCATAAGAACTATTGTTTACGTCATAGATTTGAGGATGACCATGATTGTCAGGGTTACCAAGGTTCAGGGAAAGGAATGTCTAATGCTGGGTAAATTTTGTTTATATGGTTAATTTAGAGTTCTTTCATGGTTTAAATTGTGCTATCCATTTATCAATGGCAAATGCATCTATGGATGATACGTGATTCCAAATTGCACCATTTTAATACTTAAAAGCAACAGATGAAAAGATGATTCAGGTGGTTTTCTAGTAAGTTTTTGGATATTATAAAAAGTACACCAAAATTAAAAAGCTTGTCAGAAATGAAAATAAAATAATTTCTGAGGCATAATGGACCTTTAAAGTGACATTATGCTCATTTTTTCATTGTCAAATTGACTTTAATTGACTATATATTTCAATAAACTGGTCGTTATAATGGTGATTGACCAACACATGATATTTGAAAATGTTTAGGGTAAAAAATAAATCTACCTAAATATATAAAAAGACTGCCCCACTCTTTTTATAAATTGAAAGTTACAGATACATTCCGACGGATAATTACACACATTTCACAGGGCCTAGTGAGTTATTTATCGTTCATGTGAAGTAAATTATAAAATTGAAAGGAATTATGAGAAAATGTTAACTTATTTTGACTTTCACCTGTTCACTCTATATCTACCCATGGATGGGCATAATGTCACTTTAAAGAATAGAATAGTTAAACTAAAGTTGCCCAAACACAGCAGAATTGAAATTGTGACAGGCTCAGTGTGATAGAACCTGTTCAATGACACCAGTGATAGATGCCAGATGCTACAAAACACACCTAACACAGACTTTACTAGAACTCGGCATTTAGATTTTGTTATAATTTGATACTAAGTTTTGAATTTAGAATTTTGTAAATGCTGCAAATATATAGCATTTTGTTATAATGGTTGTGCATATATACATTTATCTGAAATGCAGATATGAGACATTCTAATACATGTATAACAGTTTTGATATGTGTTTTATTCTGTGAACTGATTAAATGATACCAAAGATTTTACCTGATCAAAATGGCTGATGTAAAAAAATGTATTTACAGTTCTGCTGCTCTGTCACGCCTTCAACAACCTGCCAGTCAATCTAAAGCTCCGCCTTCTAACGCAAAACCAGCCAATCGACCTCCACAGCAAAGGACATTACATAGTTTAGGATTTGGGCTTGGAAGTGACTTAGATAGGTAAACATTTTAAATCATCTGGAAAATATCTATATATATGATTTATTTTTCATTTTTCAGCAAATGAAGCTGTAAATATTATAAATTGGCCTAAATTATATTAGGTTTTAACTTTTTGGTGTTTTAAAATTTGATCAGTATTACTATGTTTGGAGTTTTCCTTCATTAGTAAATCTGGAATGTTACCATATGACCATTACAGTGTTAGTTTGATTGAAGGCAGAACAAAAATGTTAAATAATAAAAAAATATTTTCAAAGAATTTCTTTATTTTGGGAATGCAAAAAAAAATTAATCATTGCATTTTTGAGAGTATGTTGAGTTTGGGATAAAGGGATATCTTGGTTTTAGAGAATAAGAAAAGGTTTATCAAACATAAAGAACACTAACATGCGAGTTGATTTAAAATATAGTTGATATGATTTATATTTACAGACAAAGGAGAGAAAGACAGCAACAGGGTACACAGAATCTTCGAGCAGCTCAGGCAGGTTTGGTAAGCTGCTTTCTCTGAACTTTTGTGATTTTGTCCCTTTTATGATACCTTCTAGTATTATGTCCATATACAAACTTGAAGATCCATAACTAAAGGATAAGGTTTGATACCCTTGTAAATTTTATGTACACGGTCAATGTCTTCAGTAGCAGATATTTTAATTTATTACTGGATCTTTTGTCATTTAACTGTCTTTTTTTTTTTTTAAATTCTTTGTCTTGTAATGTAAGCCTATTGAGCTTTTCTTTATATAATTTATGTTGGGTTTAGTTTGAAAGGTGTTGAAAGGTTTTATGATACTTTTTAATGTATCAATCGAAAACTTGTTTGTTTTTAATTGTGTGATATACTCTTTGCTTTATTTAGAATAATTATTGTTAGGTAGTTAAAGTAAAAGAGATTATAATTTTAAGAACACTTTGTACAAAGTTATTTTAATGTTTGTAGTCAGAAGAAGAAGCTATGGCTCGTGCAATACAACAGTCACTATCTGAAACTCAGGCTACAAAACCCTCCAATACCAATAATACGTGAGTAATCTTGTAATTTTGTTATAAGCAAGTGATTGGTCGATTTCAAATGGACACCAACATAGTGACTGATAAGAAATCACATTGATAAGAAAGTACAAGTTGCACGTCTTGTTATTTTGAGTCCCAGAATAAATGTAGTAACTGTTAAGTGACAGGTAAAATGGCACATTATAAATGAAGAGGGCCCATATAACCTGATCTGCTAGACTAGGGTTATAAAGTAAATTGCTGTAAATAACTTTGGTTTTGTGCAAATATTTCCGGGATAAAAGTTTTGTAATTTTATTTGCGAAAATCTTATGGATATTTAAAAATAAATACCCAATAAAAATCCTTAAGATTTTCAGATTTTTTTTTAAAAATTTTTGAATATTTATAAAATGTTTAATTTGTAAGGGGTTTTGTGTTTCTAGAAATTTAAAAACAAAGATTAAACAGTGATATAAAAATAATATTTAATATTTATTCATCCACATTTTAAAGTCGGGAAGAAGAAGTTTTTGTTACTTGTCAAGCTCGGGAAGCTAGTAAGAAAGGCAAGAACAAACAAACAGTCAGGAAATTAGATAAAAAATGTAATATTTTGGTATTCAAACTTTGATGCTGCATTTTTTAAAATTTTTACATGGGTTTTAACTTTTATTGATCGAAAAAGACTGTTACTTATAGTAATCACATTTACCTGTTGGTTTGTTTTTTAAAGTTGTGGCAGTTTTGAAATGAATGTGTGTTTTCTGCAGATGCTGCCAAAAAATTTGGGCCCAAAAAAGCATCAGTACAAAAGTTTAATATGCTCTTAATGCATATTACTTTTGTAAAACATATATTAAAAGAAAGTCTATAAATGTAAGGAGCATTTTAACTCTCTTCACTGTTTTCTGAACTGTTTTATTTATAGATTTTGATGGAATATTATGCTAAAATATGTTTTACTATATGTAATTTCTAGTTTATATATTTTTGATTCGGCATTTCTGTTTATTTCGTCTGATTAGGTTCACCCAATTTTGATAGTTTGAAAGAGCATGGAGTGTATGAGAGAGCATCATATTGTCATAGTTTTGAGAAATCAACAAATTCATGAGAAATCTTCAAAATTTATCAGCTTGTGACATATATGAGAGATAGTATCCAGAAAAAAAACAACCCAGAAATGTTTGAGTGAGCATCCAAATATACAGTAAAGCTAGAGAAATATAAATGGAAGAGAACACTGGATTTCGATTGCTTTGGAATTAAATGAGAGAAAATTACAGTTGTGCATGGAATATAATCCTATTTAAACATACAGTACAAGATAAAAAAAATACAATAAGACTTTCGATTAATAAAATTACTAAAACATGTGTTCTCTTTGTAGAGGCAACAATCACAAGAATCACAAAATAAAAAGAGCTGCCAAGTATCATGACGATATTGGATATCAAAGAAATTTGAGTGCTAGCTGTTCTACAACTTTGATTTAACACTTGAGGATTATGACATTGATATGGTTAAAAGTGATGCAGTGATGCAGGAATCATATATAGACATATGACTGGATTTTATCCGTTTTAGTATATTTTATCAAGGTTGTAAAGTTGATGGTTGCTAGCTTTACATTTATAAAAGCTTTACAACAGATCAGATCACTGATCTATTCTTTGTCTATTCTGTATGATGCATGTTTTAGTTCTCAATTTTTAAGGTAGGAATATACGACGACTTATAGATTAGTTTTGTCCTTTGATGTTTATTAAGCTATGATTTCTGTATAAGGAAAAAAAATTGAAAGAGTAATTTTAGTAAAGAGAACCATTATTTTGTTACTTTAAAAGAGCCACTTTAATACATCATATGCAATTGCTTTTTATCATTGTAATATATGTTTTTAATGGGAATTTTATAACTAACGATTTATTAATTAATTATTTCATTAATTGCTTTTTGATAATGGCTAGTGTATTTGTTGTCTTTTTCTATTTTGAAAAGATAAATTTTGGCTTTTGTGAAAAATTTTATTTCTTATAATATTTGCAAAATTACATCTTGCTGCCTCTGCACTTAGAGATTTGGATATAATATTTTTGTCCAATTTGTCTGCCAGTGCAAACATTTGTAACCTTGGCCAAAAATTATTCATTTGATAAGCTAGAGTCTTTATATATGGATAAAGCATACCTTTAATAACTTCTTCATTTGTGACTTTGTCCATTAAATTCCCTTTATCTTTAATGTAAAATTTTAAAAATTCAGGAAATTCCACTATAATTTTGTAATTTATAATTTTCCGACTTGGACATGACATTTTAGTTTCATGAACACATGACTTTTTTTTATTGATATAGGGTAATTACTTAAAGTTAATATTTGTAATCAAGGTTTTATTGATTGTTATATCTCATATTTCTATGGTAATCTTGTAAAAAGTTTTAATCAACTTAAAAAAGTATTTATAATTGATTTCTATGACCCACAATGGGTGTATTTATTTGTATTATATATAAATTACAACTGTTGTTAACCAGGACTTGAATATTCTTCAGCTGCTGTCTTTAAATTACAAAAACCATCCAATGTAGATTTTTAAATTTTTTAAAAATAATTTTTTATAGAAAGTTATATGAACATATGTACATGAAGGAGCATTGAAATGAACGATCACGGTTAAATTGATTGTGAACAGCTTAAATGTAACAAGTTTTGTGTATTAAAGGCACATTATTTCCCAAAAATGATTTTATTTTCATTTTGCAAAAGCTTTTTAATTTTGCTGGCATGTAATAAAATTCGCTAAAAGTTACTTACTATTTTTTTTTTCAATTAGTAAATTAATATATAAAGATTTAGTATTTTGTATGGGTGTACTTGATTGTTTACATTTTTGCTCCTTTAATGACAAATAATATAATAATTTAACATTCAGAGCTACTTCCTTGAGGCGATAAGCATCCAAAAATTTTAAAACCTTTAAACATTATATAAAACTCGATCATGTTTACCCTTTCTAAAGAATCAGAAAAAATAATTTCTTAGGCATAATGTGCCTTTAAAGTGTTAATAGCTCTTTGTACATTTCATAATATATGTTCATATTCATCATAAATCATGGAGTGTTGAACCAAACCTTTTGCTCAAAACAATCTCAGTCACTGCTTTAAATAGACTCATTTTGTTATAATCCTTCATTGCTGAATGAAAATGTATTCAGGGGAAAATGGTATGATGTATCTAAGGTATATTTTAGTGTTTGAAATTATTTTTTGTTCAATAGGATTGCAGTATTTCAGATACGATAAATCATAACAGATTTACTTTGGTAAATCTGCAAACTTGTTGATCAGTCTAGTAAATGGACTGTTCATAAAAAATATTTTCAAACACTTAATTGGTTAGTGTTTGTTAGTAAGCATATATTAAATTTGTAAATTTTGTAAATGCTTAGTTATAAACACTAACCTACACATAATTATGAAATAGTATAATACTGCTTTGTTTTTTGTTGGACTATTGGGAGTTTTATAATCACCATACACACCTGCTTGGAATTAATGAATTGATATTTATTTCGCTGCAAGAAAACAGCTGTGAGGTATACAGTTGTATGTACAATCATCCTGTTACTTCAGATCATGATGCAAGGATCATGTCTTTGTCTAAAATCATTAAAAGAAATATTGATCACTTATGTAGAAAGATAATTCATGGCTGAAATGGTTTTCATTCAAGTTTTGATAACAGATTTTTCATGTCATAAAAGAGTTGAAAATTGATTGCTTTTAAAAGCTAAAGACATTGCACAGTTTATTTGGTGGTAGTTCATTTTAACTTTTTATTCATCAGTATTTTATATTTTATAAAATTAAGGTAAATGTTTGAAGTGAATTATCAAAATAAATATGTTCTTTCCAGTATTCAAGTATACATAGTTTTTAAACCTTGTCTATTTTTTTGGTAATTTTGGAGTTGATGAAATGATGTCAATACATAATGATGTCAAGAATAATGTTAACAATATTTATTACTAGTTATAAGGATAAGGCATGATTATGACATTCACTGTGCCCTAAATAATTAATTAGCTATGATGCCAGCTAGTCCTGGAGCTAAGCTAAAAGGTTAAGCTAAATTATATTTTAGACCACAAGAACCAAAATCACTTAATACAACTCCTACATGTATTGTTATATAGAAATATACGTTAAAGTAAACAATGATTTGCTTCTTAAGATTTAATAGAAATTTAATATGTAAATACAGTGAAGAAAATAAGAAATAAACATTAAACCACAGGGAAGGGTGTGAAATAAAAGAGTGGAATTATGGGAAATTTTGAAGTATATTGGTTGTTGTTGTACTATTTTATCTCGTTATTTTTTACAAATATTTATTAAAATTTTATTATCTCATAATGAATTGTTGTAATTTGTATAAATTCTTAGAAATGTTTGTATCTATCAAGTACAACATTTCACAAACTGAACATGAGAGGTGGTTATTAGTATGTTAAAGAAAATGAAATTATCACATACCCGTGCAGCTTTTATGACTTCGTAAAAATTGTATTGCACGGCTGTGCATATACTTTGACATAACGTCATTAGCGTTATACAAACATAGTGTAAAGAGGCCCTAAATGTAGGCGTTACACTATAGGCGCGTCAATGAAAAATGATTCTTTTTATACGCCCGTTTTGAAAAACGGGACGTATTATGGGAACGCCCCTGGCGGGCGGGGCGGTC